GGAGTCCCTGCTGCCCTCTCCTGCTCCACTGCCTCTAACCCCCACTGTTCAGAATGAGGCTGTCTGTGGATTCCGTAACATCCCTGAGTACCTGGCTTGCCCTGCCTCCTACCTCGTTAGGAAACATTTTCATGGATATTATATTATTCTTTAGCTCTTCTATTATTTCTAGATGGAAAAACAGTATGAGGAATTTAACAATAAAATTATTGGCTTTTCTCACTAAAAAGTAAGGCTGAAGTAGGTAATTTGAAAAATAAAAACTTCTGCTGATGTAAAGGACAAGACTTTGATGCCTACTCTTACTTGTTAGTTTGTTCTGCTTCCCTTCTCCACACAAACACATAGCAGTGTTTATGGTACAGCGGGCCATAATAATCATCTCCTTGGTAGCCTGTTTTTATTTACTTTTTGGTTTGTTGTTAATTTAGTGTTACATTAAGGAGTATTTTGATTTTGTCTTTATAAAATTGTAAGAGCCAATGCAATACTGTCCATGATTCCCCTGGACATGGTGGAGCAGTAACTTTGAAGGACATGTAAATGACAGCCAAGACCCAGCATGCACAGGACGACTGGCTGGTGGCTAGCTCTTGTTAGAGGGCTCAGAAGCAATGAAAAAGATGCAGGTTAATAATCATGGGTCCTAGCCGGGCAGTAGTGGCTCATGCCTTTAATCCCAGCACTTAGGAGGCAGAGGCAGGTGGATTTCTGAGTTCGAGGCCAGCCTGGTCTACAGAGTGAGTTCCAGGACATCCTGGGCTATACAGAGAAACCCTGTCTCAAAAAACAAAACAAAATAAACAAATAAAAAATAATCATGGGTCCTAGGGCTGGGCAGTGGTAGTATACACCTTTAATCCCAGAACACTGGATATACAGGAAGGCAGACCTCTGAGTTTGAGGCCAGCCTGGTTTATAGAGCTAGTTCTAGAACAGCCAGGGCTACAACAGATAACTCATATCAAAACAAACAAACAAACAATCACCAACCAACCAACCAACCAACCAA